TACACGACAGAGCCCCAGTTACAACATAGAGGGACTTGCCCTAGTGTTCCCTTGCACCGATCTTCATAGAGTATATCCAGGAACATAAGTACACACAAACGGCTTGGTTAGCAGTGGAAGTAGCAAAACTGTTTTCCTACGGCTGTGTATCTGTATCTTTTGTCTTTTCTTTAGTAAGGTACAAATTCCAATTCAAGTGCATCCTCCACCTTTAGGATATGTAGAATGTTTCCCTCCCTGTGAATTCCAGCATCTGATTAGCACAATAAGCATTCCTGACAGAAACACTTACTGATTCAGCTGTCTTACCATTTAAATAACACTACCAAAAGTGATAAAGCTGTCAAATTGGCAGGTATTGGTCATGAAGTTCAAGAGTTAGTGGGATTAAAAAAGTGGAAAGAAGGGACAGTACAAGTTATGGAGCTAAAAAAACATTTCCAAAAATCACTTCTCAGTGCTACTCAGTAAATATAAGGAAGTATAAGGAACACACCATTTCATATTCATTAGCAGAGAATTCATTTCAAGACCTACAAGTTTTCTGGACTTCTCTAAATCATCTCCTGACAACAGGGGTCAAGTATCTAACAAGCCCATATTCCCTAATGGGAGAGCCTACAGAAGTTGAATGTAGTTTACTGAAGGAATTAACTTCAGGAATAACGACCACTACCACAACAGAAATAACTTTCAGAAGAAATGAAGACATTCTCTTTGCCTAACTCACAGTATACTGATTAATCCATTCCTGAGACTACTTCACATATCGTTTAAACTTCCAACTCTGGAAATAGAAATGTTATTTCTAACTTTGAAGCAAAAGGGAGATACTCCAAATAGAAAGCTATAGAAAAGTTACTAAGCTAACAACCAAGCTCAGTGTCTTTTAGATTAAGTAAAAATATAGAGTTTACACATTAACATTACCTTATATAAATTATTTCAATGCTTAGTAAGCACAGTTTTATAACACTTCAGAACGTACATGACAAAAACACAGACAAATGGGGTAAGTTATGTTTCAAGAAATTAAACAATTTACCTTACTGCTCCTGAACCATTCCAGGTAGGAGGACACTGGGAACAATAAGGCCAGTCTTTTGAATCTAGTTTGTTTTCTATAGCATCCTGAGGAAGAAAACAAAGACCCACTTTAAACAGCCATGCAGACCTGAAACCCTACAAGTTTCAACTTCCAGTAAGGATGTCTAACTGGAATTTAATGCCACTACATGGTATTTCTTAGAAAACCAATCACAAGCAGCAATGAACAACATGAACACCACTCCTGTATGACAAAGTGCTAGACCAAGGCTTCTGTGTACCACAGGGAATTGAGTACATAGGCTCTCTTTATAAACATACAGACTTCACTAGTAGCTTTTCATCTGTAACCACCCTAACATATTTAATTTCTCTACAGCAGTATATGAGAAAAGTTAGGGTCCCCTGAAGCAATAAGTGAACAGGTGAAAGTCACCAAGACTTGATGTATGACAGCACTGGGTCAGACTAAAGGTCCAGTGAAGTCGCTGTTCTGTCTGACATCAGTCACTGACGCTTAGGAAGAGGTTTAAGAACAAAGCAACCACACTTCCGGCAAGTAACATCTTCCAGCCTCTACCAATCTACGGTTTAGTCTGGAATTGCAGTTTAGAAACCCACTGGAGGAAAAAAGGTAATCCAAACCTTTACATTACACTAAACACTGCCAATCACAGGACAAGCAGTTCAAACACACTTGTTGCTTTCACTTTCATTTGCTTCACCTTTAAAACAAGCTCCGGTAAGGAGCACTGCTAGCACACAGCAGTCCAATGTTCTATATTAGAGACAGACTAGAAGAGATTACTTTGCTCAACAGATGTATTTAACAACAGTAACTCAAGATACTACAGTATTTCAAAAGATTGTCTCTAAGCACTCACTTGAGTAATTTTCTGCACTGCAGCTACGCATTAACTAGCTGGTGAAATTTACCTCCATAACATCTTTGATAACAGGTGTCCACCTAGAAAGTTGGAAAGTTTCTTCTGAAGAACGGTCCCTTCTTGGGTGCTTTTGATGCTGAACAGCAGACTGAAAATATTTTCAAAACATGGTTGTATTATACAGTGTATTTGGATTTTTGAAGCTTATTCCCAGTTAGTAGCAGTTGGGGGGGGCGATCAGTAGGAAATAATAGTAACAACAGCAACAATAACTAATACCTGTAGAATTCAGGATACGCTCGAAATACTAATTTCAGAGACAAGGAACTGAGTAAGGTGGCATTTTCCAAAACCAACTAGCTGAAGACACCATCCAATGATTTTAGAGGGAACATTACAGGTAGCTTACTTTCAAAATTATTCATGTTAATTGTTTGAGAGATTTACCACTTAGACATACCATAAAAACAAGAACTTCTAGTACTTGCCCATTTAAAACAAAAACTAACAAAACAAACTTAGATAATACTGCTAAGAGTTGCCAAGAGAGCTGTAGACAAGTGTTTGGGTGGTAGGAAATTACAAAATAAAAAAATATAATCTTACTGAAGAGATAACAGGAACATCAAGGTATTTCCAGTTTCTTATCATATCGCTATCACTTTCTATTTGTACATTCTGGATCAGCTTCTCCAAGTTCTCCTGGGTAGTTCCTTCAATATAAGGAAAACACACAACTTAATTACCACGTGACTGAGCAAGACTAAATTTGTCTCTCACATTCTGGGCTGTTATTTAGCCCATGATTTGGTGGGTTTGTTGGGTTTTTTTTCCTCCTCCCAGTCTACTCTAAGCTAACATAATACCACATTTTAGATAAAATTTTGTTTAATGGTCCATTTTTGAGATCAAAACTGAATATTGCTATAGATGCCTCAGACCCAAATTGTCAGTTTCCTCCTTCTCTATTACAAATTCTTTCCCTGCTCACTTCCTTTTCAGGTTGCAAAGGTCATGGAGCTCTCCCTTTAACAGCTTCAATGCTATGTGAAAAATGAGTAAATTTTAACCGTTACACACATCCAAGCACAGGAATGAGGCTAAAACACTGTATGGATCTGCACTTATATTGAATCTCTTAACTCCTTATCAATAATATCTTTCCTACTAATTTGAGAGAAGAGAAGCTACAGAGGATGCACAGTATTTCTTTCAAACTTTGCTATCAACTCCAATACAGATGCTTAAGTTAACTAAAAATACAGAACTATCCCAAAACTTGAGTTGAAGTCCATAGCACTGAGAAAAAAATAGGTCAGTTTATCATACCATCCGTGCTAAAGATATACAGGAGAATAGCTCTAATTTTGTCATAGCTGTCATGACTTTTGTTGAGCAGAACTGGAAGGAGAACTCTCATCGAGTCTTTCACTTTTTGACCTTCTACATCAGTTCCAAGAGCCAAGTCCTAAATTTTTAAAAAAGTGATTTTAGTGAGAAGTCATTAAAAAAAAGAGCATTGTTTGTGTATTCTGAAATATGTTTTCATGAAACCATAGGTTTCAGGGAACAATCAAGCTGCATCAATTTAAACTCAGTACGGAAAGTCTGACATAATGCTTTCAATAATTACAGCATTATAATGACAGTACATAGCACTCAAACGTTTAAAACTGTTTGATATCTAGAATTCATATAAACATAAATCAGTTTTTAACTTGAAGTTAGGAGGACAACATAATGCCTCACTATAACAGGTGCTTTTCCCACATACTTTAAAAGGCTTTCCTTCTGTACAACATAGTAAGATAACTTCATACAAGTTTTGAACAAAAAAAAACAACCAAACCACAAATACCATCCTTAATTTGTAAATAATTAATTTGTAAATCAGTCAGATTCAAAGATAAAAAAACCAAACTCTAAAAGCACCTCCTTTATTGGTTGAGTAAGAACCTTGTTTATCTTACTTAGCTTTAGTACTATTATCTCAAAAAACCATCAGATTGTCAGTTAAAAACACGCATCTGTTCTTGCAAACAAACTCACATTTGCCCTAAGTTATTGTTTAGTTTGTGGGTTTTTTAAACATACCTGTTCAGTTTTACAGAGCCTTTCAATGTTAGACTTGAACTTGTTCATGCAATCTTCTGCTAAGTTAAGATGGACAACTTGCTAGAAGACAAAAGAAAATATGACAACTACAAGCTGCCATAACTTCCTAACTTGACTTTTTAAAACAAACAAACAAAACATCAAGCAATCATTTTTACTGGTTACAAGAGTCAATCCTTCAACCATCATTCATTTTCTGTGTTCTACCCTTCACTTAGAGATTCACCCTGATAACAACTTTTAAAACATTAAACTGCTATGCTGTCTTCAGTCCTCAAAGCACACAAATAACTTCATTTTGGGCTTTTTTTACATACTAAAATGAAACACCTGGAAACAAGTTCTTCTCAACATTTTACAGTAGGTGAACATATTAATTTGGAGAAAAACTATACAGCACACTTAACAGGAAAATTACAGAATAAAACTAGACTTCAATAACACTGAAAATTATGGTGTACAAAGTGGTTTACTTGAAGTTGTAGTTGCAAAAGATCTCTTACCCTGCTAATCTCTTTACGATAGTGAGGCATCTTTTTCATTAACTGGGACAGAGCAGATACTGATAACTGTGAAGAAATTATACAAGTTGAAAAAGTTTTCCACCACAATATTTGACACCCTTATTTCATTTTCTGCTTTCCCCCCCACCTCAAAATATTGCCATTGAGATAAGCTTCAATTTCTGTAATAGGTCCCTGAATTACATAGATCTCATCAGCTGAAAATAATTAAATTACCAGGAAAAACAATACCTTAATTTAAACAACTTACTTTTCCTTCTGTTGCTTTTTTTTTTGATGAAACTTCTTTAAAAAGTTTTGGTATTTCTCTGAAGGGAAAAAAAAAAAGAAAGTAATGAAATGCAACAGCACTGTAGTTCTTAAATCTTTTAAGATGTTTATTTAAAATCTCAAAAGAACTGTGCAACAAGAAATTCTGAATTGAAGTCAAAGCTTCAAATACAGATCTTCTTCAGAAAAGAGTTTTTTGACACAGGAAACTGCAACTAAACGTTCGGTTTATGATATCTGCATAATATCATATGATGCAGTAACTTGCTAGTACTTTATACTAAATAATCCCTTCAGATTTAAAAGATATGAAAGATACTTCCCAGGAAATAATTTTACTTCCATTTTGGTCAAGAAATGTAATTAATATGAGTAAAATGGCATTCCTCTACACACTATTTTTTAAAGTATGTTTTCTTCCTGGCATCAATCATTTAACAGGATGCAGTCTACATTGCAAACCACCATCACTACTGCCTGTATTCCTACTTTAACAGCTCAAATACGCTCCCTCTCTAAGAAACCTATAACTTGCATTTTAACTAGTTTTTGTTATTTATTCACATACTCTATCACATCTGCAATATGCTTGTGCCGAATCTTCACCCAGAGCTCATCATCTTCCTCCAGAATTGCCTCCCGTTCATTCCCAGCAGATCCCTCTGTTTTGTATCTTCCAAGACAAAATTCAGTCAATTGTTTAGTTTGTGGGAGTTTTTTCCCCCCTCTGCTTCATTCTCATAACTCATTAGAGTACTAATTGTTATGGTTTAATCAACACACATGGCTATTGTGGTGACGTACACAGGTTTTCACTTATAAGCCAAGCTATTGCCCAATACAACATAACTTACATAAGGATTTTACAGACTACATCTTGGAACATAGAAGAAGCGGATCAATTTTAGAATTCTTTGGGGCAATAGCTTCTGGACATGTTTTTAAACCAACAGTAACTAGTTTCGATCATACATTTGCATGCATCTCAATTTCTCTTCAGTTTCCAATGCCAACTTCCCTTTGGCTTCAAATGCAAATTGTGTGCAAAGTAATCCACAGTGAGATTGCAAAGTGCAGCTTTCTATATCTATAAAACACTTTGCAACTCTGAAGGAAAATTAAGACACATTCACCCACAAAATAGACTAAGTAGGACAAATTACTTCACATATACAAGGAACGTGCTTCACAGCATTACAGACCAGCTATTACTTTTCTACAAACAGAAATAAACTATAAAGCAAGATAAACAATCACACTACATAACATTTTCACATTTACAGAAACTCACAGTGCGTACAGCCAGAAAGCAGAAAAATATTTTAAAAAACAAACAATAAGATTGTTAAAATCATATCATGACTACCTAGAGAAAATGCTGCTATATTTTCATACCCTGCAAATTTCAGATTTGTAGAATTCTGTATTTCCTACGAAAACATTCATTCAGTGTTTCTGACAGAGAAGATACAAATTCCTGTTTGCTTAACTAAACAATGAGGCAATTAGGTCTCGTTTGCTGTAGTAGGTCATCAGAAAGTAACGCCTAACCAAATACCTTTGGTGTCAGAACAACCCAACAGTCAAGTATGTACCTTATGCAAAACAATGTCACAATACTCCAAAGAGTGATAAAATAATGTTTAGGATAGAAACACGTAAATTTTAGCAACTACACAATTTAACTAACTGGAGCTACAAAAGTGAGCATTCCTGATAAATAACTAAGCTTTTTCTTAGTATCCGATTACTGGTCTTGTTTGCCTTGTTGGGCCAAGAAGGTTGAGAATATGAAGAAAAGGCAGAGAATCAGAACATGCACTACCAAGGTTTTGCTTCAACTCTAGTACAAAGTTCTTTGTTTTAAAAAAAAAAATAATGCAATTTGTTAGACTCAAAACTTAGCAAAAATGTTCATTAGATTCTACTAAATTCAACTAAATGAGGAAGTTAGAAAAAGAAAGCTACAAATCCAAGAGGAAAGACCAATAAGTAAAACGAACCTTATTTAATATAAGCAATTAATACTGCTATGGTGCAATTCAGCTAAACAATTCAATTTATTTTATAATAAAAAAGTGCTTAGATTTTTTTTTAAAGTACTTGCTTGTAAGTATCATTTTCAATTGGTAGCAGATCATATGCCATTGCCTGGAAGGTGAGTTCATGAAGTACAGTGGATACTGGGTCAAAGCCACGATCAATTATTATTAGTTGGGAGTGGGTTTTAGCCTAGAAAGCCATCAAATAAATATGAAGTTAAGACATACAGTACAAAGTTGATGCATGTTAAATCTACTTACAGCAAGTGATACAATGCAGACATTTTTGGAAAAATAACTGGAAAAAAAAACCTAAAAAAAGTATGGTCCAAGTGTTTATCAACATAAATAGAAACTAACATTTAAATGATAACCATAACACAGTGGTTTTAAATACTAATTTTAAGGCAATACTCTTAGTCTATTGCAATGCATTCAGCTACCTCAGTCAATGAACAACAAAAAAAAAATGTAAAGAGGAGAGAAGTGAAAAAAAAAAGCCTCTCACTGACTTTTCACAAGTAAGTGTATTGTTTGTGTTTCAGAGTAGACTATCTATACTGTGCTGCAATACAGAAAAACATCTCCAAACATGCAAGTGGAAGTTTCACTTTGGGGTTTAGCAGTGGCAGTAGCATCAGATACATCTGTTTCTGTAGCAGAATGGTATGTCACCAAGCCAGAATGGCTCACCCCATACTTCTGCTTTTAGGCAGCTGCCCTAATCTGCCCTGACCTGCAGTGACAGATCAAAAACATTATTTATGTGAAAAGATGTATCTTGGCAGACAATAAATCCCGTAATGGGAGATGTTTCAATTCTGCAGTGAAGTCCCTTCTACACACACAAGTTATCCACTTTCCTTCAGGTTTGTAACAACCCTACACTACCATAGGGTAAATTTTTCAAGTACAGTTAGTCTGATCACACAAATTATACTTGCTTACAAACATACTTACTGTATCAGTTACTACCTCTAAGTTGCTTTCATACAAAAAACAACTAAATGGCAATTAGTTGCCTTTATTAATAAATAAATTCTAGTTTTGTAGAACCAATTGTCAAAACACGACTCCCAGACTTACAAAAAAAGTAGCAAACATTTTAGTTCACTTTCTACCTTTATTTGGCTTTTCTCATCAGTTTTGTAGTAGTCTTCAAGATTTTTTTCAACAAGCTGTGCAAGTTTGCTGGCTCTATCAGATGGTCCACTGAGAAAAAAGTAAACATGCAAAAATAACTTAAATTTCTTCATCAAAACACTAACATGCTACCTTTAAAAACAGAAAACTCCCTAGATTGATCCTCTGCTTTCACGAGCAGTTTCTGAACTCCATTCTAAGTACTCCCAATATATTTTCACTCTTACATTATGATTCCGCTCTTTGAATGCTTCAGGTATTTCACACAGTAGAAAACAGCTTCAGCCAAAATACTAACATTAGCTGGCATATGGCCCAGCACCTAAAGTTCTCACTCAGAGGTGGAAAACAAGAAAAAAGAAAGAGAAAGAGAAGAAAAAAAAAGTCAAGCAATTATTCCTTTGTTACCTTTGCAAAGAATAAGGCACCACTTCACATTACACCACTGAATGCAATTCTTGAGCATGATTTCAGATGCCTACTTTGACTTCAAAGATACTACTCTGTACTCTCTACCAAAGCTCAAAAGAGGCATTCTCAGTCTCTCCACTACAAAGAAATCCTGATCCCATCTGCCTTGGCAATTTATGAATTCCTTGATGCCAACCAGAGCTGCAAAACTACCACCATCAGCAGTTCTGTTACAGGATTGTGCATGTGGTGTATTCGAATGGAGCATATTAGTGTCGTCCTACTGACCAAACACGAAACAAACACTTCATAACAAAACAGGGCATAGTAAGTACTGTTCTGTGAATACACACAGAAATAATTCACTGCTCTGCCTACACTTCACAAATTCCTATCACTCCGTATTTCAGAGTTGTGATTAAAAGCAATTAATCCAACAATAAAAGAAACTATGCTGCAACCTCAAGCTATTACCAAATAACGTGGGAAGTCCTAGAAGTGAAAACAACTACACTATACATCATGATTTTTCTCCTACCTTTTATATCGTACTCCCGGATTCTCATCTAGTGTGGCACATAAAGTAACAATTTGTTCAGCCATTACTTGCATTACAGCATCTTTATCCTTTGTCTTTTCCAGAGTAGGACTATAACAGCGGTAGAATGCATCTGGTACATTGAGAGTAAATACCTATGTAAAGCACAACCAAATAAAGTGGCTTAAATTTTATGTTTCTAAAATATTTGGCAAAAGAATTGCTAATACTTTAAAATTACATGCTGTAACAAAAAAACTTATACATAATATACTTTAAAAAAATCCAACCAAAACCATACTTCAGTCCTCTTTCTCTGTCTCAGAGCACTCATATGCTTCTTGTTCTCACACTCTTCCTCTTAGTCTCCTTCTCTATGCAAATTACTACATTTTTCAAAGTGCTTACTATCTATACAGATGGAGGGACCTGAGACAGGCAGAAGTACCATCCACTGTCTCACATAAAGCCATACAATGCAATACTAGAAAGATGATAGAAGGTATCAAGTTAAATTTGTTTTAAACAAACGGGTACAATATGTCAATTTCTATTCTATGACTTTACCTCCAAGAACTGAAATTCTTTAAATGCATTAAATGTTGATAAAAGATGTTCAGTACTACACAGAAAAACAAACTTTCATCAGTTTAGTAAATGGAATGCGACTATGGAAACGACCCATTGTCAGTACATGGCTTTTCTCCACCTTCAGATGGCCTCTGTAACTGCAGAGCCAAAGAACTACTCCATCCAGATAAAGGTATTAGTTTCATTTGAGTAGATAATCACTAGGACTTCGCCCAGAGCTCAGTCTGGTTATTTACTCTTATCACAGAAAGCAGGCCCAGGGATTTTAAATTAGGAAAACCCAGTTAACACTCTGTTCCTTCACTAGGGATTCAAAATTCTCTCACAACCCAAAAATAGTCAGAACACAAAACTAAACTAAAAACAGCAAAAGACTAAATACTGCTTATTTTCACCTTTAGAAAAGTAGTCCAAATTTCTACTTTCATGTTAAGTTCTCCAGAGAACCAGAACAACAAAATTTTTGTATGTCTTATTTGGTAGAGGACGCTACAAAACATTTTAAGAGTAGCTTTAGCAGAACTCCCAAGAACAGTTTGAAACAAGGCTTGGGAACATCAACACCACTGGAAACAAACCAACACACTAATTATTCTCTGGTGGCTTCTCAATCTAAATAATAAAAAACCCTTTTTTAATAAAAATTAGTATGACTTCCAAGTAGGAAACTGCACCAGAGTAAGACACAGATAGCAGCAACCTCTCCTACAGTCACCTGCCACTTGAAATCCAGAAGAGTTCTGACCCTTTATATGTTCATAGGGTTTGAAGAATACAGGAAAGACTTGTGGGAAACATTCATGGTTAACTCTATAACTCCCAACAGAGGGCAGGGTTTGAGTGCTTCACTGTATTAGTGAGTATCAGAGTGCATTTCAGCTTTTTGTACCTGATGAAGTGCATGAGCAACAAATGATTTCTCAACAAAACACCCACTGTGTGGTTTCACATGGAAACAACTCACTGGTTTCCATAGTCTCAAATTCTTAATCCTCTCAAAAAGTTTGCCAATTTGTTATGGTTTTTGTGTCTCCTTTTTTGTGAGACTTTGGTTTTGTTCCCTTCTCTTTCATTTCTCTTCATTCATTTGCTCACCTTTTCTGATTTTCACCAAGTAGCAGGTTCTACTTATTTCTATTCCTATGCACCAATCTACCTGGTCTGTCAAAATAACACCTCTGTTTATAAGCAGTAACAAACTTTACTGTTTACTAAAGACAAGCCAGAATAACGTCCTTAAGGAATAGATTCCTTTTCCATCCTCTCTGCTGCAATTGACCCCCGGTCTTGCAAAAAGGTCAAGTGCAAACAGTAAATCTTTGAGTAGAAGAGCACTTGTTTTCATCTGAAAAATACAGGCAAGCACTGGAAATACACCAAAACAGCAACAGGTCTCACATACTGTTTGTCAGTAAGAAAGCAAGCTACATTTTATTTTATTGTTTTCTAGCAAGTCAACACCACTTGGAAACAGTCCTCCAGACTATTTTCTGCTGTGGAGATAAAAAGTGAAACTTACCTGAGACTCATATGGGAAGAAGGAAATATTGATCTCTTTGCATTTCCTTATTGATTTTGCACAGGAAGACTTAATTTTATTAAAGAGGTTGTCAGGACAAACTAGCAAAAAAAAAATTAAAAGTATAAATCACTTATGCATATTCCAGCTTTTAACTCGCTTAGAAGCTTACAGTATTCTGAACAGACAGACAGGCAATTCTAAATTAAGAACAAATTAACAGTAACATACAAAAAAAGTTGCCAAATCTTCCTAAAGTGAAAAAAACCCATACAATCAATATTTTGTGTTTGAGATCTCTTTCAAGGAGCATCATGGGTCATCTTTTACTAGCTTTTGGCAAGCAAAGTTATAGAACACGCATTTAGCAGCCTGCAACAGTGAAGGATATTGATTTTATCAAAGCAAAAGTTTCTGCTATTTCTTCTCATATAGGAGAGAAAACATTTTCTAAGCTACAAAAATGTTAAAGGGAGAAATAACGTGTACACATCAAACAGTAAAACACAGAGAAACATGGAATTTAATTCTAGATCTTAAATGTGTTTCCTTACACTTACAGGCTACATTGGATACCAGTCTACAGATTGAATTTAAGGAATATTTGGATGACACAGACTTGGAAGCGACAGAGGTATTTCTCTAACATGAAAAGCTTTGGCAAACATTCAAAACTGAAAGCTTGCACACATGCAACAAAGAAATGTACAGCAATGCAACAGTATTTTTCCAGAACAAGAATTGCTGCATCAGCAAAAAAGTGAAACAAGAAATCAAGATGTTTTGATAGTAAGTTGATTACTGCTTTAAGAGCAAACGGAAGCAGATATGCACTATCCACAGACATCCACAGAGACAGCCACAAATCTGTGTCTGCCTTCAGCAGCATGTTTGGTGTCTGTTTTCCCTTATTTACATGCCATTTTAGTCACATCGTCTGGCTGCAGAGGAACACGCAGTCACATCAACCCCGTTTGCACCAATTGTCTCTGCTTTGCAATCTGTATATATATATAA